TAAAAAAAAAAAAAAAAAAAAATTATATATATATATATTGTATTTTTAATATAAAAATACGTGTATGTCTGTAAAACTGTTGTAATTTCTTTATTATTCATTTTTATTGTGGAATACAGTGTAGTTTATCTCCTGTCCGTACCTTCACAGGTCATCATGGGTCCGGGTTCGAATCCCTCCTGACAGGAACACTCAAAGCCACCAGGAACGTTTGAGCACGTGCCGTTTCCACAGGGGTTTCCGATCGAGCACTCGTCCGTATCTGTCCAATCAACCATCAGACCATCAGAAAGGTGCCGTTAATAACCCACATAACTAGCTAGTTCATCATTTGCTTGATACTTTACTTTTATTAAGTCGTAAACTAAGGGATTTGAACCCACAACCTTCCCGCAGTCATCGAGAACAGCGAGAGCAGAGTGAATTGAGGTTAACTGGGACACTTTTAGCCAGTCAGAAGCAGAACTCGTCTCAATGAACGTGAGTTTGCGTAGTTTTCTGGTGAACTCACCCACGCAGTTGATGCCGGTGTAGTCGAGGTTGTACCCGAAGGGACACTCGCAGCGGAACGAGCCGTCGGTGTTGATGCACTGGCCGTTCCCGCAGATGCCCGGGTTCTCCACGCACTCGTTCATGTCTGCGGAGGTACACGGGACGTTAGGACGGGGATTGTGGGAAGGAAACGTGCTTTAGTTGACAGGGTTTAAACAGTTTTCTCACCCTCGCGTCCCTCGGGTCGCGGGACAGCCTCGTGACCATAGGGACACAACGTGTGGAACGCAGCTGCGGGAGAAAAACGCCACAAAATTACTCTGATATTTAAAAATACATACGGAGACATGAAGGGTCTGATTTCTCATAAGTGTGATTATTAAATTACATTTACTTTGACATACTAAAATATTACAATCTAAATTATATAAAACTTTTTTTTTTAAATACATTTTATATTGAATTAAATGATTAAAAAGTAAAAGTTAGAAATGATTTATTAACTATTTATTTATTAACTAACTATTTTTTTTAAATTAAATTATTCAACTCTGTTAGGTTAAATGACCAAAATTAGGATTACTACATTGTTGTTATAAAATTAACTATTTAATAATTATATAAACAATTAGTATTATTCATCTTTCTGTTAAATTAAACAATAAAAAGACAAATTTTATAGAAAAAAAACCTGTATTAAATTATTCAACATTTTGTTCAATTAAATGGTCAAAATTACCAAATTACTATTTATTTTATAAAACTGACAATGATTTCTTTTATATTAAATAACTAATTTACCTTTTTTGTTGCATTAAATGATCAACATTAAAATGACTCAAATGTATACAAAATTTTTTATATTTTATTAATTAAGCTTTTTAAATGAAATTATTATTTATTGTTGCATATGAGAACAATTTATTAATTATACAAAACAACTGTATTAAAGTATTAACATTGTTTTGTTAAATGATCCAAATGAAAATGACTAAAATGTATTAAACTTAGAACGGTTTATGAATTATATAAAACATAATTAAATTATTTAATTTAGTTACATTTTCATGAAACCACTGTTTGTTTGTTTTTTGTTAAATTAAATGATCAAATAATATTACAAATTTTAAATGATAAAAATTTAAATGACAAATGTATTAAACAGAACGATATATGAATCATATAAAACATTATTAAATTATTTAATTTAGTAAAATTCTCCTGAAACTACTGTTTTTTTTTTGTTAAATTGAATGATCAAATAATGATCAAATAATATTACAAATTTTAAATGATCAAAATTAAAATAACTAAAATGTATTAAACTTAGAATGGTTTATGAATTATATAAAACATTAAATAATTTAATTTAGTTACATTTTCATGAAACTTGATTTTAAATGATCAAAATTAAAATGACTAAAATTTATTAAAATTAGAACTATTAATTACGTAAAACACTACTAAATTATTTAATCTAGCTACATTTTCATGAAACTATTGTTTTTTGTTAAATGATAAAATAATATAAAAAATGTTTTAATAGAATGTAGAAATGTATTAATATACGAGATGACTGTCTTAAATTCTTAAAGCTTTTTATGTTAAATTAAACGATTAAAATAACAAAAATGTATCTGTAATAATTCGAATGATGTATCAATGCTACAAAGCAGTTTTTCTGAACTAGCTGAATAGTTTTGTTCAGTTACCCTCGGTCTCGCGCGGACACAGCTCGCAGGGGTCGCCCCATCCCTCGCCCGGCAGCAGGCTGCAGCAGCACTTGGCTTTGGTGGTGTTGAGCGGTTTGGGAACGGAGCATTTGCCCGCTTCAAACCGCGTGAAGCAGAAGCTCTCGCGCGTGTCTGACCACAAAACACACACATTCATGTGAGGAAAATACACAGAGCTGCTAAATACAGTAATATACCTCACTTCAAAGTGATTCATATTTTGATTTAATTTCTACTACTTTATACACATAAAATCATCATTATAAATGACAACATATTGTATAAAAATTATTTAAATATAATAAAATAATATTTTTTATAAATATTTTACGTAACGCATACATTAATGCTAAATACAACTAATATCAACAACACCCTATATCATCTAATGCAATTGCAGAATATCAGTGTTTAAACCTATTGATATTTATGAATATTAATACTTCATTTATAAATGTACATGAAGTACAACTAATAAAACACCCTACTTTATGTAAATAAATTTTTTATTAATGGCAACATATATGAAACATTATAGAAAATACATGAAGTATTAGTGTTCTATAATAAATAAAAAAAAATGAAATATTCATACATATTTATACTTTAGTTTGACATAATAATATTTTAAAATCTTAATTATACAAAACACTTCATTAAATTAAATCAGCAAAATTACTAAAATTTTTCTTATAAAATGTAGAATGAATTATTAATTATATAAAACTATTTTTAATAAATAATTCAATTTTTGTTAGATTGAATGATGCAAATTTAAATTACTAAAATTTGTTTATTAATCGTTATTGCATTATTAATTTATTAATTATATAAAAAAATATATGAAATTGAAAATGATTTATTAATTAAATAAAACTTTAAAAATGTATGACATTTTTAAATCTTATAAATATTTTATGTAAAAAAAAACATGTTAAATACATCTTAGAAAAAATTGCAATTGCAAAATATAAATATTTTAACAAACATATATATGGAACATTTATAGTTTATTTATTTATCAATTTTACACTAAAGTACAACTAATTAAACATGACTTTATTAAAATAAAATAACAGTTATAAATTGTACCATAAAATTGAATTTAAACTAGTGCTGTCAAACGATTAATCGCATCCAAAATACAAGTTTTTGTTTACATAATATATGTGTGTGTGCTGTGTATATATATTATGTACATATAAAGACACACACACAGCATATATTTTGAAAATATTTACATGTATATATATTATTATATTATATATAAATATATTTAATTTATCGGCCGATATGAGCATGTCGCAGATATATCGGTATCGGTGAATATGCTGCCGATATGACCATTGTTTTTTACAGAACATATAATGCAGATTAAATGCTTCTGAATGGCGTAATTACTTAGTTTGTCCAGCAGAGTGCGCTCCATTGTTTGCTA